ACCCCCCAACCCCCCACACCCACCCCCCACCCAAAACCCCCCCCCCCACCCCCAACCCCCCCCCCCCAACCCCAGCCACAGACAACAGCCAGGGCCAAAACCAAACCCTGCTGCCAGAGAGAATCACAGATTGGTTTGGGCTGGAAGGGAAATTAAAGCCCATCTCATTCCACCCCTGCCACAGGTTGCTCCAACCTGGCCTTTGACACTTCCAGGGATGGGGCAGCCACAGCTTCTCTGGGCAACCTGTGCCAGGGCCTCCCCACCCTCACAGGGAACAATTTCTCCCCAGTATCCCATCTAACCCTGCCCTCTGGCAGTGGGAAGCCATTCCCCCTTGTAATGTCCCTCCAGCCCTTCCAAATAGTCCCTCTCCATCTTTCCTGTGGGCTTCCTTCAGGTACTGAAAAGCAAAAATCCAGGCAACTAGTAAGTGTTTACATCTGTATCTGCTACATCTGGAAAAAAGCAGAATTCCAGTGCCATTTGCAGCAATTTGAGCAGTGCTGCAGTGCAGGACTCAACCCAGGGCTCAAAACACCTGTGAGAAAACATTTCCTGCTGCCTTATGCTTCCCCTTGTGCTGGGGGAAAATTCTTGGAGAGGAGATTCCAGTAATCATTAAGGCCAGTTTAAATGACAAAACCCAAATATCAGTTTGTCTGGCAGCTACTCTTGTGAAAACCTGCTTCTAGGTGATAATGACTTTAAAAACTGAATTAATCAGCCTGAACTCTTCCCAGCTGGATGTGTCTGTCAAGGTAGATTTTTTTCTTTTTCTTTTCTAATTTTCAGGAAAAAAAAAATTTTCTCCTTTTCTAAGAAAGAAATAGCAAGGAAAAGATTTCCCTGGATTTTATTAACTTTACGTAGTTGTTTTGAAGCAGGGTTTGAGGTCTGGAAGGGCACTCAGGGGGACAAGATGTCTCATTTTCTTCCACATTTAATCTTCCCAAACTGCAAAAATTCTGAACATCCATGAGTTGCTCAATAAAATTTCTTAAAGTTTTTCAGCAGATTCCCTGAGTTCTAACCTGTCCTAGGGATGCTCTGTGTCCCTCAAGCTCCTCCACTACCAGGCTGTTCTGGGGATGTGGACACAGAGAAGGGTGTTGGCTCCAGGTTTGTGGCACCAGGTCTGAGAGCAGCTGCTCTGACTGTCCTGGGCTCCCCTGGACACAAACATTGAAACTGGTCACCAAAAAAATAGAGAGATAAGGAACCTAGGAGGGGTCAGACTTGAATTAAAAGGACAAAAGTAAGAGCAAAAGTGAGGAAGGGGGGGAAAGGAAGGGCTGATAAGTTGGATAATAATGGCACAAGAGACAGGGCAGGAAAAAGAGAGCTCAGGCAGAGACAAGAAAGAAAATGAAGATAAGAAGGTAAATAGGATCAAACTCGGTGGGATGGTGGAACATTCCCATCCATTGGGAGGGACTGTGAGAAGGACATGGGAACTAAAAGGAAAAAACACCAGGGCTGGGCTGGCAAGAGAACAAGGGCTGGGGAAGGGCAGGAGGTCAAGGAGAGGAGCTGTGGGACACAACTGGGACACACCAGAAGGAAACCAGAGTTCAACATAAACAGGTAAAGGTTCAGATCTCCCCAGAACAACACAGAAATCCAGAACTGAACCTCAGAGTGTGAACCTTTCCCACAGCTGCCTGCTGCATGAGGAGCTGCCTGCTGGCACTGCCAGGTCCCTCCAGGGGGTACCGAGCACTCTAAGCCCAATTCCTGGGAGATCTGCTGGGAATCTGAGGGTCCCATAACTGCTGATTGCCACAGCAGAACAAACAACAATCCTACAGGAACCAATGTGTATTTCCCCTTTGGTTTATTGTCTTCAAATTGCACCATGAATCCAAACCCTCAGTAAAGTTGCAATCGAGTTGCCAGGCCAAGATGCCAAAAGGTCTCTGAAAAACTAAGTTGCTCCTCTTCTGCATTTCCTCCCTGCCATTATTTTCTCTTGCAAACATCAAGCAAATTTTGAGAAGCATCCTCTGTCTTATCTAGTGAAGAGGGGAAATGCACAGAACCATCCAAGCAGATCTGAAATTCCAGGAGCAGAGCTACAAAAAGGTTCTGCCGGAGGAAATGAGGATGAAACCTGAGCACAAGAAGTGCCATAAAAGGTACAAGCAGAATTTTGTGCATGAACTGGGATATCTGACAGTATAAAGGACTTGGTGTAGGGAATTTAGGTGATAAAGGAGACATGAGCACATTAACAATGAAAGTGCAACTTGGCGTTAGTAAATTGGTTGTACTGACAGTTTTGGCTTTAATCTGAGCACAGCTACCTGGTTGTAATAAAAATGACACTTCTCCTCAAAATGGTGTGAAAGAAAGTAAAAAATATTATGAGAGAACTAATAATGGCCCTGAGGAAATTGATATTTCTGCATTCAGTGCAGACCTGGGACAGGACACAGCAAAGTGAGAGATCTTAATGAAATTCTGAGCAAGTCCCCAAGCCCAGGATGGGACCAGAGCTGTGGGTCCAATCATGTAAAACCTAAATCAGGATATGTACATTTGAATTAGTCTAATGCAGAGTTATCTCAGTTCTGTCACCCTCACTTGGAAACATCACCTTGATATTCTTTCAATGCAGCTGTTTTGGGGTGACAAAAATGACCTGCTCAAGGCACTGTGCACCTGTGCCTGCTTTCACAGCATGGACCACGTGTGTGGAGTGGAGCTGATTTTAAAGGCTGAGAATCATAGAAATGTAGAATCATTTAGGTTTGGAAAGACTCTTAAAATGATCAAATCTGGTCTTAATCCAACACTGCCAAGGCCACCACTAAAACATGCCCCCAGTCACTACATCCACATGGCTTTTAAATCCCTCCAGGGATGGGGACTCCACCATCTCCCTGGGCAGCCCCTGCCAAGGCCTGACCACCCTTTCCAGGAGGAAATTCCTCCTGATGTCCAACCTGAGCCTCCCCTGGCACAGCTGGAGGCCGTTTCCTCTCCTCCTGGCCCTTGTTCCCTGGGAGCAGAGCCCGACCCCCCCCCAGCTCCCCCCTCCTGTCAGGGGGTTGCAGAGCCAGAAGGTCCCCCCTGAGCCTCCTTTTCTCCAGGCTGAGCCCCCCCAGCTCCCTCAGCCGCTCCTGCTGCTCCAGCCCCTTCCCAGCTCCCTTCCCTTCCCTGCACACGCTCCAGCCCCTCAATGTCTCTCTTGTCTGAGGGACCCAAAACAAGACACATCCTGAAGATACACCCAGACCACAAGGAGCTGCTGACAAGAAGCACATCTGGGCCACTTTATGGAAATTGCAGTTTCAGGTTTTGTTTTTAGCAATGAGTTATATCTGAGTTCCCAAACCAAGCAGTGCCAGCCCACCCTTCCCCAGCCCTGTTAAACCTTGCTGAGATCTCTTCTTTACATTTAGAACTTACAGGAACTGGTTCCAAGCCTCACTTATTCCTTTCATTGGCCCTTCTCATGCCCAGCCATCCCAAAAGCAGGTGTTGCTGGTCTCCTGCAGCAGTGTCTCCCACTTTGGATATTGGGGGAGCAGGAAGAAGACCTCTAACAGGATTGCTTTGACTTCTGGGAGGCAGTGTCTTCTTGCACAAGAAAATTGATGTGAAGGATTCCCCCTTTCAGAGGATGAAAAGGAAGCCTGGAAATAAACTGGGTCCTGTCCTTGTGTGAGACCAGTCATGGAAGTAAAATCCACCAGGAAAATCCTCAGAAGACAGGCCTCCTCTGTTCCCATGCTACAGACTTCTCCAGGATTGTTTTGTCAGGAATTGCATTTGCCAGGAGCAAGATTTAAACTGGGTAATACTTCCCCTTTTGAGAAAACTTCCAAACAATTCTGAGTGTCCATGCTGGGAGCATCATGGAAGGACAGGAGGATAAAACCACCAACAAGATCACTGAGGCCCCTTTCCCTCACTGCCTTTCACCAAACTCTTAGTGAGGATGGTCTTGCTTTCAGACCAGCCTGGCTCCTTTTGAATGATAATATTAGCAGAAGAAGTGTTGATTTAGACATCAAATGCAATTAAAGTCAAACTTTGACAGCTCCTGAGTAACTACAAAGCACCCAGTGGAGTTTTCAGCTGTGCTCTGAAAATGCAGCCACATGCAGAGTCTCACCAAACGTCCTAAAAATTGGAGTGCTTTAAGCCAGCTGTACTTACTGCTTTTAAGACCAGGTATTTGATGTTCCTGAAGCTGAGATAAGGGAGAAGACTCTCCTACATGCTGATTGCTTTCACAGTGCCTGAATCTCGGAGTGTGTTGCACCTCTCTGTCCAAAAATCAAGGCCACCTCTACAGAGAGTTTCATGCAGAGGGTACCAAAGACAAGGTGGACTTTGACAGCCACATCTCCCAGAGCCTCAGGTGAGTGAACTGGGCTCTGCTGCTGGACACAACTGGCTCAGACACGGGGGTAAATGCTGATGGGCATGTGGGGGTGGGGAAAGGGCTGCTTTGTTCTGAAGTGATTGATCCAGGGGGTGTGGGAGCAGCTGTTGGCTTGTGGCACTGCTGGAAGAAAGGGGTGAGAAACAAAGAGGACATGGGGGAATGGCATTAAACTGAAGGAGAGTAGATTAGATTGGATATTAGGCTGAAATTCTCCCCTGTGAGGGTGGGGAGGCCCTGGCACAGGTTGTCAGAGAAGCTGTGGCTGCCCCATCCCTGGAAGTGTCCAAAGCCAGGCTGGATGGGGCTTGGAGCCACCTGGGCAAGTGGAAGGTGTGGAGGGGGTGGAATAAGATTATCTTTAAGGTCCCTTCCAACCCAAACCATTCTGTGTTTTATGATTCTGTGATTCTGTGATTCTCAGACCTTTGTCTCCCAAAGGACCCTGCCTTGGGCACAGCTGCCCCCTCTGTACCACTGCCCAGCCACAAGGTCCTGCTTCCACTGTGTTTGCTCCCAAATCTCCCTGAATACAGGGCTGCTCCAGCCCAGAGCAGAGCATTGCAGCCCCTGCATGGCTCAGCTTGGATTTCCATCCCTACAGCTTTGGAGACATCACGTGGCTGCATGACATTGAGCTGGGAAACCTCTAGAGTGGAACATCTCTGTGATCCATCTCCTGGAAGTGTTAATGTCATCCTCAGCTCTCCTTTGTGCCAATTAGCCAAAGCCCTGTGGAGGAGGAGGAGATCCATAATTCCAGCTGGAGCTGCTGTGTCATGTGTGGTTCTGCTGCAGCTCCTCATTGCTCCTCCAGCCCCCCACAGAGGGGTCCTGGCAGTCCCCGCCAGACAGGGTTGATTTAGACCCTTTGCTCTGCTGGAACTGGTGATAAATCAACTCCCTAATGAGCTGAAGCTGCTGTTGGGACACCACAACTCCATCACCACTCCAAGAGGCTTTATTAGCTGGAATAGCTGCTCCACCACTGGTAATTTTTGTGGGAGCCTTTCTGACTTGGCTGTTTAATATCTGACCTCACATGATTTATAGGGACAGCAGGTTTGTTGATCTGATATTGTTGATAAGATATTGGGGTAACAGTAGCACCCAAGATGGATCATCTTTGCTCTCCTGGGACAAGTGATACTTCGTAAAAGGGATTTTGCACTCAATATTTATTCTTGAGAGCAAATCCCAAAGTTACAACATCAGTGCTGCACAGTTCCTCTCCCCTCCAGTAAAACAGGGCAGCCCCAGTAATGTGGTTGTATCAATTTAGCTTAAACATCAGTAATTCCAGTGGTGTCTGGGGGATTTAAACACCCTGAATGCCAATGGCATCCCAGGATCCAAACAACGGGAATCTTTCCAAATGCTTCCCTTCTGCTTTGCCTCCAGCAACCACCAGCAATCCTTGATTTTCCTGTTTTCCAACCCAAATATTTCTTGCCTAATTTAATGTATTTCCTGGTTGCATTTGCCTGTATTATCCTATATGTTATGTAAATATGACATTTGGTGTTCAATAAGCCCAGCGCACATGTAGAGTCATCACTCAGCCACACTAATGAGAGAGTAACTCCAGTTTGGAAGCTGCTGCTGGGCTTTGAGCTCTGTAATGATACCAGTGATGTCCAACCTCACCCTGTGAGCCACAGGGACTAATCTGTGGTCATTAAAGAGCTGGATGCCCTCTCCAAACACTGGGATACTCCTGAACAGGATCAAAGCAATGGAAGACAGACAGCCTGAGTCCTACTGGTATTCCTTTGCCCTTCAAGGGCACTGATTGATTCTCCAGGAGTTCTGGAAGCTGTTTTTTCCATGAGCTTTTCAGAGAGCCACTGAAGCTCTTGAGATCTCTTGCAAAAATCTGTAAGATGCAGAAGGGTCTCAGACTTCTGTCAGCACTGAACCAGTGATTTATCTGCACTGAACCAGTGCTGACAGAAGTGGTTTTCTACCACCCTCTTTGGGCAGGATAACATGGGATGTTTTCTCATGTGACTCTCTCCTGGCCTCCATCTCTCCGACACTGACACTGAGAATATCCTGGATTGTCTCCCTTGGGATCAGAAGAAGGCTTTGCAGACTTGTCTTGAGTGAAATTTCCACTGAATTTCCCCCTGTAGCACAGGAGTGAGTGTGGTGGCACCTGCAGGAGTCCTGCTGACAGAGAGCAGCCATTCCAACCTGCTTTCCCAGCTCCTGCCCACACCACAAGCTCATTCCCTGCCACAAAAACTAGAAGTTTCCTGAAGTCTGCTGGGCTCCTGGGTAGTGCTGCACAAACTAAGGTGAAGACACCTGGCAGAGTCAGGGGTGGCCTTCTCTGTACCAGCACAACTAAGTCCACACGTGACTGGTGTCACCAGTGGCACCCAGTTGACCAGTTCCTGCCTCACTAAAGGCCATGGTGGAGTCACCACCTCTGGAAATATTCAAGAGGAGCTTGGGGATGGGGTTCAGGGTGATTGTGGTGCCGTTGGTTGATGGTTGGACTTGATCTCAAAGGTCTCTTCCAGCCATGGTGATTCTGTGAAGGCCGTGAAGGCAGAGATGGTTCAGCAGCTTCAACACCTGAAATGTTTGAGGCACCCTCAGAGCCCTGCACTTGTGAGGACAGTGCTCCAAGGCTCAGCTCTGCTCTGTGGCAGGACCTGCCTCTCTCCATCCTGGCCAAGGACCTTATCCAGCCACTCCAGAGAGCTCCTCAAGGAAAGAGAAATCAAGATTTGACAGGAGCCTCCGAAGTGTGACAAGAAACGAGACCTGCTGAGTCTTTGCCCCGGGAATGAGGCCAAATTTTTGCACCCAGCTTTTGGTGTGGATGTAATGAACTCATGCCTGCAGTCTTGGGATGGTTATTGGGAGAGTGAGAAGAGAGGGGAGTGAACACTGGCCTTTTTTAACACTTTTTTCCAGCCCCTTCTGTTCCCTGAGCTCCTGCAGTGTGTCATTATCTGGGATTGCAGGCTTTGCCCAGTTTCTGCTCCTGCCCAGTCAGCTCTCGTCTCCAGGACAATCTGAATTAGTTGGTTTTAGGATTTCACAGGGCTGGAATATTGAGACACTTTCAGCTGGAATCAAGAAGGAGGAGTCTGATCCTGATCCCACACATGTGGCTGGTGGGGGTTTATGGTGGAGGGAAAAGCCCCAATCTACACATCTTTGTGCCACAGGTCCAGCATTTTACCAGCAGAACATGTCTCTAGTAGGTGCAACTTTGAAGATCTCTCTTTGTCCTCTAAGGCTATTTTGTACCTTCTTTAAACACATGAAATTTCCACCATTTTCACTGTAAATTCTGGCTTCATGCCCACTGCTGTTTGTAATTCCTGCTCTAACAATGAAGTGAGGATTAAATCAGCCTTTCCAGACCACCACTGCCAGGACAACTGTTCATCCCTCTCTCAAATTATTTCCTGCACCTTGCTGTTCTCCAGGGCTATTCCCCAGAGCTGGAGGGGGGGTGGAATCCTCATTAACCAGCTCTGTGGACACATGAGGTGGCTGATCTCCAGCTCTGCTGACTAAATACAAGCAGGACTGTTGTTTCTTTCCCCAAGGAACAGTCTTATCAAACAAATGCCACTTTCTCAATTAACATCTCACCACCTGCCCTTACCAAAGGGACAGGCTCCTTGTCCTGTTGGTAATATGATGATAATGTTGATAATGATGATAAACACAATGACAATAACAACAGCAACAATAAAAACAATTGAGTATAATCTTAGGGCTCCTAAGTAAAAAAGGATGCTGGAGTTCTCGTTTTGGCAAACTGAATGAGGAGCTTAAAGGTGAGGATAATAAAATAAAATAAAATAAAAAAATAAATAAAATACCATCCACTGGTATTTTCCTCTGCTCCACAATACCTCTGTTGTTTGGGTTCACCCAGTACCAGCACATGAAAGTCAAGGTGGATCCCAGTCCCACTGAGCTCCACAGCTGTGTGTAAACAGCCCTATTTCTCCATGGCTGGTTCCCTGCCTATAACAGGGGCAATCAAACCATCTAGAAGAAAGTTCCAGCCACCAAGGTGCAGGAGAATTTTGATGCCAGGTTTGTATGTAAATTGTCAGCAGCAGCCACTTCCTTCCTCCTCCTTTCCTCCTTCTACCTCAGCTGTGCAGCACCAAACTGTCCTCAAGGTTCACACACTTGAGGAAAAGGAAATAAATCTCATTTTTCCCTGAGTGTGAGCACAGATCAGGGGCTGCAGTCACATCTTTAGCATGAATAGGCAGTAACTGAAGACTGAAGTAATTCATATCCATCATTTAAACGCGCTACCAGACTAAAACTCGAGTTTGAAAGAGCAGATCAGAGCAAAAATCCAACTAAAGCTGGTTAGCAATGACCAGGTTCAAATTTTTGGTTTTAATTAAAACCAATTTCCTTGACTAACATGACTTTTTAATGCACAGTAAGTTTGCATTTTATTTTTTTTAAGGAGTAAAATAAAACTTTTTTAAATGTTCTTCTGCCCAGAACTTCCCCTTCAGCCACCGTGTGCAGAGCCCAGCAGGGTCTGTTTGCAGTGGGTTTAAAACGATCCCACCGAGTCACTCTTTGGGGGTTGAAGTTTCATTCCAGGTGTGAGCCCTGGCACAGCTTCCTCTGCAGCCCCTTTCTGAGCCCCCTGTGAGCAGGTTCAGAGGAAGCACCCCTGCAGGGGGGGATTTCTGCTGCAGGGGGGATTTCTGCGGTCACTCAGAAGTGTTTGTGGCTCCGGTCCCACCGCAGGGCTGGTGGAGCCTTTCAGGAGGAAAAGCAAAGCCTTTGCACCCCCCACCCCCCGTGAGGAACCAACTCCCTCCTATTCTCCTTGCACATCCCCAGAGAACAACGCTTTTGTTTTCACTAATCTTTCATTTTCAGGGCTGATTAGATGCTTTAACTAAGTGAATCCTATTATTTAAAGCCTTCCTGGCTGCTTCTCAGGGTGCATTCTGACTCATGCACCTATTTGCAGGTGGAGATTAGAAAGAGAAGGTGATTTTTTGCCTTTCAAAAATAGCAGCGAGCAGGTTTTTGGACTGAGACTTATCTGTGTGTGTGTGGCCAGTCCTTGGTACCCACCTCAGTGAAAAGAAGGGATGCTAAAACCTCCTGGCTGAGGCTTCCTGGTGGTGTTTGACTCCTGCTTTAGAAGGTGCAATGGAAATAGTATCAGAATCATGGAATGACAGCACGGTTTGGGTTGGAAGGGACCTTACAAAACATCCAGTCTCACTCCCTGCCATGGGCAGGGACACCTTCCACCAGCCCAGGTTGCTCCAAGCTCCATCCAACCTGGCCTTGGACACTTCCAGGGATGGGGCAGCCACAGCTTCTCTGGGCAACCTGTGCCAGGGCCTCCCCACCCTCACAGGGAAGGGTTTCTTCCTCATATCTAATTTAACCCTGCCCTTCTTCAACTTAAGACCTTTATGGATCCTAACTAGGATATTTTCAGGCCTTTAAATATTAGAAGATGTATATTAAACCACAAAGATAAAGCCAAAATACAGCAGTGCATTCCCACCCCCCCAAGCTGGAGCTCCAGGATTCCTCAGGACACCAGCACAGAGAGGCAGCTCTGGAGCTGGGGCAGGGGGGATGAGATGCCAGGGTGGGGACCCCTGGGGACAGCAGGTCACACCTGCAGGAGCAGGGCCAGAGAGGGGAAGAAACTTCTGAAACTTCTTCCTTCAGTTCTTCAGAAACACGGGCTGGTTTCTGACTGACGAGAGCACGGCCAGGGCGAGGCTCAGCCAAGGTTAAACCAGGACCAGTGAGCCCCATTTTTAATGTAAATACCACTGATGGTGTGCACAGGCTGCATTTCTTTGAGCTCCCCGTGTACCACCCACAGGCTCCACCTCTGCCTCACCCTCCCAACCCAGCCCACGCTCCTCTTTAACTCGCTGCTCCCTGGCCAAGGTAATTTGGAGATTTCTTATTCCCCCAAACAAGTTAATGATCTCCTGGAGTGTGATCCAGTGCCTCTCTGACACATCTTTCTGCAACCCAAAACGCCTGAGACACAGCTGCAAAAATAGCCACAGGAACCTGGAGTCAACATCCAAAAAGATCAATTAAAGCAGGAGCTAGATACAAAGAGAATGAGAAGGAACAGGAGCCAGTAATTTGCATTCCCCAATTAAGGAGATTTATCTGCATTTCTAGTTAATAAAAGACATTAATTGATTCACATTTTTTATGGCTGCACACTGAGCTATTTCTGTCTGGAAGGAGACACTCTTAAATGGAATGAGTCAGAGCAGACCTGTTATGCCACCCTGGGACCCTGAAAGACTTGTTAATGGCTCTGAAGAAATCAAGTTGCTTCACACGGCTATTTTCTCTTCAGACATCAAAAGCAGAGGGAAAGTATAGTAGTTCTGAAGGCTGAAAATGCTTTTTTACACGGTCCTTTGCATTTGACAAATAGCAACAGGATAATCAAAGAGACACATCCAGAGACATCTCAGCAGGATTTATGGGCCCAGCTCAACATGATCTCCAGAGACGTGGCTCTAAACTGAGGGAAGTCCTGGCAGGTCAGAGCTCCTCAATTGCCTTCCTTCTAGATTAACTTTGCAATTCAAAAGAGAAGGAAAGTCTCTATTTTTCCCCTCAAAAATATTTAGAAAAACACAGACATAAACTCTTCCCTGTGAGGGTGGGGAGGCCCTGGCACAGGTTGCCCAGAGAAGCTGTGGCTGCCCCATCCCTGCAAGTGTCCAAGGCCAGGTTGGACGGGGCTTGGAGCAACCTGGGCTGGTGGAAGGTGTCCCTGCCCATGGCAGGGGGTAGAACAAGATGAGCTTTAAATTCCCTTCCAACCCAAACCATTCCATGATCCCATGATTCCATCATAAGACACTGATCCAAAGTGACCAGGTACATCTGAGGAAGCCCATCTGTGCCTTCAGCCCTCTGACAGCATTTCCACACTCACTTTGGAAAGGCAATCAGACAGCTTGGAACTGAAAAACATATATTCTTTGGTTTTTACCATAAGAACAAAATGTGGACAAATTGAAAGCATTTGTCATTTCTGCTTCTGTTTCCCTGGTGACAAAAAAAAAAATAAAATAAAATAGAGTAACCAGTATTTCCAACTAAGACAAACCCTGCAGCTCAAAGGCTTGGCCAGTTTGTCCTGATTTTTGCTTTGCTCTCACCCCGTGGCTCTAGGCAGCATGAGGGTGGAAATAGCCTGGGAAATGTGTTCTCTTCTGCAAAGCTGGAGCCTGTTTGCCAAAAACAGCTGGAGTCTATTTGCCTACCCCCAGGTAGTAAAATACTACCTGGCTGGAGCTGTTCATCATAAAATAAATGTCTGTATTGGCCTCATCCTATTTAGAAAGTGAGAGTTATGCTTTGTTTTCCTGTCAACCTTTGCCAGGAAGAAATCATCCCTCCCAGTGCTGATGATGGAGTTTTCTGTTGTTTTCTCCAGCCTTTATTTGGTGTTGATGCCTTGAACATTCACAGCTCCTGGGCATCAGAGGAGCCCATCAAAGGGCTCAGCTCTGTCTTACACACATGCAAAGTAGAAGCCTGGGTTTCTTCTGAACTTGCCTCCCTGGGTGGGAGTGTTTTAGCACCATTTGGGTTGTAACCCTGCACAAAGTCCTGCCAGGGCATGAGGAGCTGACTCGAGGTGTGGGGGGCACAGAAGTCCAGGCATATTAAAATCCTTACAGACAAATCTGCCTCCAGCCACATCCACACCGTCATCTTTGTTAAGGAAAGGGCCTGAGAGAGAAAACGTGCTCCCTGGGCACCCCTCCCCAGCCCCTGGTGCCACAGAGCCTGTTGGGAGCAGGGCTGGGTGAGCCCTGGGTGAGCCCTGCCCGTGGGACACCTGGCTGGGCTGCAGTGCCTGGGCCACAGGTCAGAGTCACAGTGTGGGCTGGGTTGGAAGGGACATTTAAAAACGTACAGTCCCACCCCCTGCCATGGGCAGGGACACCTTCCACCAGCCCAGGTTGCTCCAAGCCCTGTCCAACCTGGCCTTGGACACTTCCAGGGATGGGGCAGCCACAGCTTCTCTGGGCAACCTGTGCCAGGGCCTCCCCACCCTCACAGGGAACAATTTCTTCCCAATATCCCATCTAACCCTGCCTTCTGGCAGTGGAAACCATTCCCCCTTGTCCTGTCCCTCCATCCCTTGTCCCAAGTCCCTCTCCAGCTCTCCTGGAGCCCCTTTATGCCCTGGAAGGGGCTCTAAGTTCTCCCTGGAGCCTCCTCCAGGTGAACACCCCCAACTCTCCCAGCCTGGCTCCAGAGCAGAGGGGCTCCCTGTTTGTACCAAAAAGAGTGAGGGTGTATTTTGAGAGTCCTCCCTTCTCTGAGAGTGTCTCCTGTTCACATCTGCCTACACAGAAACCTCAGCCTTGTGTTCTGCCCTTGTCACCTTCCCGAGCCCCACTCTCTGGGTTGCTGCAGCTTTCTGGCTCCCAACACAAATTCTCCTCCTTGCACACAGCAACCAGTGATCCTGCTGTCATTTTTTCTCTTTCAGTGAAGACCTACATTAGAACACCCAAGAATCCTCAAAGACAAGGAATTCCTGTGGCAGAGCAGGGATTAATACAGGCAAGAGGAATGCAGGCTGTGCTGGCTGGAGCTCTGGTGCTTTGGGACACAAATCTCAGGGTGTGACACCAATTACAGATCTGGGGTAGTGGTTCTGTGCTGTCATTGAAACTGGGATGCCCCATGTTGTGCCTGCAGGGTGGGTGGGATTGAACTCAGGCTGGAGTTCACACTGGTTTTAGGGAGCAATGCTGCTCAAAGAGTCACATCACCCCTCCTCTGCCCTTTGCAGCTCCCCACTGTGCCTGTCCCCAAGCCAGCACAGAATCCCAGAATCACTGTGGTTGGAAAAGCCCTCCCAGCCCATGGATCCCCCTGTGCCCGATGCCCACCTTGTCCCCCAGCCCAGAGCACTGAGTGCCACGGCCAGGCCTTCCTGGGACACCTCCAGGGGTGAGGACTCCAAACCTCCCTGGGCAGCCCCTGCCAGTGCCTGACCACCCTTTGCAGGAAGAAATTCCTTCTGATGTCCAACCTGAGCCTCCCCTGGCACAGCTGGAGGCCGTTCCCTCTCCTCCTGTCCCTTGTTCCCTGGGAGCAGAGCCCGACCCCCCCCGGCTCCCCCCTCCTGTCAGGGGGTTGCAGAGCCAGAAGGTCCCCCCTGAGCCTCCTTTGCCCCAGGCTGAGCCCCCCCAGCTCCCTCAGCTGCTCCTGCTGCTCCAGCCCCTTCCCAGCTCCCTTCCCTTCCCTGCACACGCTCCAGCCCCTCAATGTCTCTCTTGTCTGAGGGCCCAGAGCTGCCCCAGCACTGGAGGTGCCCCAGCAGTGCCAGCACAGGGACAGTCCCTGCCCTGGGGCTGTGACACACCATGGCTGGCACAGCCCAGGGGCCATTGGCCTCTTGCCCACCTGACCATCTTGGCCACCACAGCATCCGTGAGGAGAACTGCTGAAGGGATTTGGGTTCCCAGGCTTTGGATTCAGCTGGAATTGTCTATTCTGGCTCATTGTGTGGGCACAGCAGTGCCTGTGCTGGCACCAGGGAAGATGCACTGAGAGGAAGGGAGGGAACAGGGCAAATTGCCTCTCCCAGCTGTAGTTTTGGGGATGTCATTTTAAACTCTACCCAAACCCCTGGTTTTAGCTGCAAACCTTGTACACCAATTCTAATTGGTCATCCAGGATTTTATGAACCCCAACTGACCTGATTTAGGATGAGCTGAACCACTACAAAGATACTCATTCACCCTTGCCCTGGAGAGCCACATGACCAATTAGACTAAAAGCCCCAATTTTAACTTCTAGAGGTGAGATGAGAAGAATTCCATCTATATGACCAACGTGTGACACTCCAAAGGTGTTGTGAGCCTGGTAAGTCATGGGGTCACCTGAGAAACCAGGGTGGGCTGAAGGGCTGCCCTCCCCCTGTGCACTGGACCAAAATTCCCCCCCTCTTTGGAGAGGTCTGGAGGGTTGAAATTTGAGGCATGGGATGTACCTTTGCAAGGAAACCAGTGGGAATGCAGGAGAGGAATGTAATGGCCTGATCTGCTTTATTTCTGAGGCAAATAAATTCCTGCAGACCAGGGATGTGAACAGCCACAACTGTGAGGAAAGAATTCCTGCAGAACAGGGATGTGAACAACCACAACTGTGAGGAAAGAATTCCTGCAGAACAGGGATGTGAACAGCCACAACTGTGAGGAAAGAATTCCTGCAGAACAGGGATGTGAACAGCCACAACTGTGAGGAAAGAATTCCTGCAGAACAGGGATGTGAACAGCCACAACTGTGAGGAAAGAATTCCTGCAGAACAGGGATGTGAACAGCCACAACTGTGAGGAAAGGCTGAGCAGCTGGGAGCTGATGGACTCAGAGCACAGCAGCTCCTTCTTGAGGGATATTACTTGTGCTTTCAGAACAGAGTTATAAAGACACAAATAATCCACCTCCTCTGGGAAATTTTCCTTTATTTATTCTGCTCCCCATCAGGAACTCTGGGCTGCTGGTACAGGTTTATTACAGGAACACTGGCCCTGCTGGGCTCCAAACCTCAGTGTTGCCAAGTGAGGAAAAGGGAACCATCTTCCCAGCCTTGTCCCAGCACTGGGACAGTTTTCCTTTGGGAAATGCCCAATTCTTCTGGTACAGAGCTCCTGTGCCTGTCCCAGGGTGCACAAACTGGGTGATTCTTGGGGAAACTCCTGCACTAAATCTCTCCATGACACAACTTCATGTCTTTGTGCCGGTGTTGTCCTTTACTTTACACATGATTTTCCCCTCTGGGGTGCAGGATGATCCCATGGCTCCCAGTCTTCCTTTTCTGGGCTAAACAAGCTAAACTTTAGTCTCATCTTGCCTAGCAGGACAAATCCTCCCCAGAAAACCCTTTGCAGCACAGTTCTGTGCCTGCTCCAGTGTGAATTAACCTTTTCTTGACTGGAGTGGGAAAAGAGAAACTTCTCAGTGGCTCCTGCCCCTCCTGTGGGTGATTCCTTGTCCAGGGAGTGCTGAAGAACAGCTCAAAGGCACCAGTTTTTGTGCCTCCTCTCTGTTCCCCAGTGGATGGTTCATATCCATCCTGAGGGCTGGAGGCTTCTGTCCCAGGGGATCTGATAAACTCAGGGATGTGAATTTGTCAGAAGGTGGGGATCCTCCAGCTGGATGTGCCAGAGAGGTCCAGCTCTCTTGGAGTCAATCCCTGTGATGGCTGGTGCAGAAATCAGCTGGGGTTAAGATGAAGCTCCTCTGGACTTTCCTGGAGTGTGATGTGGGATGTGCTCCTGCTCCCAAGGCAGCACCACAGGAGACTGAGCAGCAAAGTCAGCTGGAGGTACCAGAGTGACTCTGTCTGGTCTGTGCTGCCTGTTTTGGAAAGAAGGAAGGAATATTTCCTGTGTGCTGGAACTCCCCTGTGCCTGGGAAAGCTGGGTGAGCAAACCCAATCAGGGTGGGCTTCTCTCCTGGGCAGCAACACAGCCTGGCAGGGGCTCCCATTCCCACTGCAACTGATGGGCCAAAAGGGATCACAAATCCCAGCTCCACCAGCAGGATCCTGTTCCCTGCAAACCACGGAGAAGGGATGGACACTGCTGGATTTCTGCTGGCCAATCTGTCTGACCTGGCACTTGTGCAGACACAGGGCTGCTGCTGGGGATTGTCTCTCAAGTTCTGGCCTGTCCACATGCTGCAGGATGAGAAAAGGGAACCCCGGGAGCTCAGGTTAACCCTCATTATGTTCTCTCTCTTCCTCTCAAATGCTGCTCAATATTTGCTGTACAATTCATGGAAAGAAAGGTCACTATTGCCAAGTCTCAGCTTCATCAATGCTGTTCCCAGATTCCAGAGGTCTGGAATGGAAGGCTTTCTGGGTGAGACTGTCCTAAAGTCTGACCAACCCCTCAGCACAGGTACCTCGGCATCTCCTGAAGGAGGGATTTTACTCCTTCCTGCATGAGCAACCAAGGGAGAGCCCAGACACCATCAAGCCATGAGGATAATCCAGAGTTTGTTTTGTGCAAGGACAGACCGAGCAGGTCCCATTTCTGACTCTCCTCCACAGTGCCTGGGTCATCCTGAGGATGCCACAGATCTGAGCTCCCTTTCTGTGTGCTCTGAGTCACCTCAGCTGTGCACAGTGCTCACAACTCAGCCCACAGCCCAGGGCAGAGATGGGCATTGGGTCTCCTTCTCCCACTCCATGTCCAGTACATTTCCATCAAACTTCTTTGTCAGTCTATTTGATCCATGTTCCAGTCCTATTTACCTCTCTCCTTCCCCAAGTTCAAAATTTACATAGTCATTCCATGGCTTTCTTTGGAAATATTGGTGCAGAAAAAAGGCTTTGAAAATGGTAAAAATTCCCTGTGCTGGGACTGCCATCCCCAGTCCAGCATCTCTGGTGCAGTTCTGCCTAAATATTCCAAGGTACTTCCATTTTATCTGCCGATGAAAAAGCAGCCAGAGGCTGCTCCCAGAGAGGCTTGTTTAGAAAATCCAACAGCAGCTCTTGGGTTTGTTTCCACTTGTTGTGTAGAAACCCTCACTCACACCTGAGAGGGGAACACTGTCACCAGCATGACCATGGCAGTGCCCTTGGAAGAGCTCCCTGGCAGAGGAGGGAGGTGTGTGACGAGGAGCTGGATGTGCTCCAGTGGCTCCAACACGTGCTCTCTGTGGCTGTGCCAACCCCTCATGTGCTGCCAGGCTCCAGGTCACTGCTGGCACGTGGAGAGTGTCAAAGGGCTCTCAAGGGATCTGGAGAAACAGGCCTTGAAGTTCAAGATGTGCCAGAAGGTTTGTTTGTAGCTGCAGGAATGGCAGGGAAATAGAGAAGTATTTCCACATGTCTGTCACCATCACATCTGCACTGTGGGAGAGGGGCAGGGGAGCACAGAGACCTCAGCCCAGGCAGGAAAAGCCACTGGAACATGGGCCCCTGTCATTTTGCTCAACATTTCCTACCACTCTGCCCCACAAGCCAGGGGGGATATTCCAGCAGCAGGGAGATTTGGAATCCCATGGCAGAGTCTGTGTCAGGATGTCCCATGAGACACAAAAGGGGGCTGGAAACTGCCAAAGTGCTGCCAGGACCTGCCTCACTCCCTGCTTTGCTTTCAGAGGGCAGGGATCAGAGAATTGCAGAATCATGGGATCATGGAATGATCCCATTGAGAGGGACCTTAAACCCCATGCAGTCCCACCCCCACCATGGGCAGGGACACCTTCCACCGGCCCAGGTTGCTCCAAGCCCCGTCCAACCCGGCCTTGGACACTTCCAGGGATGGGGCAGCCACAGCTTCTCTGGGCAACCTGTGCCAGGGCCTCCCCACCCTCCCAGGGAAGGACTTCTTCCAATATCCCATCTAACCCTGGCTTCCTTCAGCTTAAAGCCATTCCCCTTGTCCTGGCACTCCAGGCCCTCGTCCAAAGGGGCAGGGATGGGGAGGGAGCACCTGGCCCACTGTGAGTGCCATTCCCAAGTGAGATATTCCATGTGCACTGGGCAGGGATCAGAACCTACACAGGGATTAAACCCCTGAGGGACAGATAAGCAGCGTGGGTGATGGCAGAGGAAGTGCTGGGGTTTGTGGGTTCAGATGTAGGGGGGGTCACACATTTACCTTCTCCTGCTCATCTTCCTTCTGCACTGCTCATACTGTGCCTGGTGCCAGCCCACACCTGACCACAGCTGCAGCTGGTGAAGCCACTCTGGGGGATTTGGAGCCTGCTGGAGGCAAAACATCTCCCTGCAGGTCACTGGGGCTGCCAAGGACCACCCAGAGCTCAGCCTGGGGCTCGTTGTGCTCAGTCTCCACAGAGCAGCTGAGAACACTCAGGAGGCCAAAGCTCTGGGGAACAGGACACAGCTGGACACCCCCGGGCTGGGTGAGCCTTGGCCCCTCATCCAGGACCCTGAGCTTCAGGCAGGTCAGGAAACCCCGAGAAGGAAAAGGAGAGGGGTCACCAAGCTCAGCATCCAAGCTGTGCCCTCTCTCTGGACCCACAGAGAAGGGATGAAGGTCATCCCACCTCCTGCCACAGGGAACTCCTCAGAGTTCCCCAACTCTTCCCATGCAGCCTTTGATCGTTTTTTGCTCCCCTCAGTCAGAATGTCCTATTTTTCCCTCAGGCCTATAGTGGAACAGATAGAGGATATTTCTGGTGCCCTTGGGGTGCACAGCATTAACTGTTCCCAGGAGGAACCCCTGCCCTGGAAGGTGGGACAGCACAAACTCAGAGGTTCCTCCAGTGCCAGCAGTCTGAAGCACTTCATCCCCAGCCTGAACATTCCCATTACTGCCCTCACTCCTCCTTTAACACCACAGTAACTTTGCCTGTTTCACTCACCACAAAAGTCTCATGACCTGTGTTCTGTGTTCTCTGGGCCTCCCCAGCACCTTGGGACACTGAGACCCCCAGGGAATGCTCATTCCTGAGGCAGAAAGCCTTGCTTGTTCCCCCTTCTCAATTCAGTATTTTTAAATCCTTGCCTTCCACTGACACACCCATCAAACTGCCTCTCTGTCCCAAATCTACTTTACAAACTCTTATCTACAGCTCCCTCCAAGCACAGACACTTTGCCAGGCACTTTTAAAGTCTTAATTCCTATTATACCTCCTAATTCAAACCTCAGGTTGTTCTCAGCACCTATATTTGAACTGACTCTATTTCTGGTTTCCTGGTTTCAGATGAATATGAGGACATGCCTTTTATAGACTGCACACTCTTGGTATCTGAGCATATCTGAAATTAATAAGTTACACATACTTTGGAATAAAATGTGTTACATTTTAAACAATAGAGGCAGTGAGATGCCAGGAAAAAAAGAGATAAGAGTAGAGTACCTTAATAAAACTGTGTTTCCAAAGAGCAGTCAGGGAGTTGTGAGTGCAGATATGGGCACACACAAAGCACAGACTTGCTCTGAAATACGGCTCTGAAGGATGAGGGGTTTTATTCAGCAGATCTGCATCTCTCTGACTCCTCCAGCATTCCTCCTGTAGCTGGAAGGCCCCCAGGCTCAGTCTGTGTCTGATCACAGCATTGGAATAAACCCCCACGAGTCAAGGATCACCCTGAGCAGGGAATTCCTTTTTGATCACATTATAAGTCCATTTCTTCAAGGTACATCAGCTACATTAGGAAGAAAGGAAGGTTTGGGAAGGTTTGGGAAGGTTTGGGAAGGGAAGGTTTGGGAAGGGAAGGTTTGGGAAAGTTTGGGAAGGTTTGGGAAGGGAAGGGGAAGGGGAAGGGCTGCTCTGCATGCTCACAGAAGTACATTCTCTGCAGCAGATCCAAGGCAGTGCCATTGAAATCAATTAAAATCTCTCAGTTATTGGCACAAAGTGGGCTGGGAACCAGCTCTTTGGAGGAGGAACTGGGCTGTCATCCAGAACCTGTGTGTCAGCCCTAGGAATTCCTGGCAGCCTCCCAGGTTCTCTGTTCGTTCTCTTGATGTTTGGACTATCCAAGAGTCAGAAAAACTGCCGTGGAGAGATCTGTCCCTGGCCAAAGGCTCCCTGCTCCACAGATCCTCTGGCTGTGGCATCACCTCAACATTTGTCTCAGGCCGAAATGCAGCCACTGGCTGGGAAGCAGAGGCAGTGAAGAAGAGCTGCTTCTTTCTTTTCAACTGACAGACAGGTTCAATCCAACCCTCAGCCTCCAAAACTGCCCCAGATCTGGGCTTTGGCAGCTTTATTTACTCCATGAGACCACCAGAGTAGCCTCATGGCACTGCATGGGATTGGTGCTGTCACCAGGGAAGGCTTTTGAGACACCACAGAATGGCAGAACCTCCTGAGCTGGAAGGGTCCCACAGGGATCATGGAATCCAACCCTCAGCCCTGCCCAGCCCCAGCCCCAGGAGTCACCCCCTGTGCCTGACAATAATGACCATGACTGTCTTTCCATAGAGAAAGATGCTGGGATAAGGGATTGGGGATGGATTTTTCCAGGAGTGTGGTGGCCTTTGCGTGAGGGATCTCAGGACCCTGGACAGTTTTAAGCCACCACCTGAAGAGTGTGGATGATGGAATGGGTTTATCCAGTTCTGAGGAGGAATGAAGGTGCTCTCAGGAAGGAAACATCTGTCCCAGCAACAGTCAGGAGCTGAGCAGTGGGAAGGCTGAGCCCTGTCCAAGGGTGGTCTCTGGCACAGCTGCTGGGGGTCTCAGTGCAACCCTCACTCTCCCATCCAATGCCTGGGAGCAGCACCAGGAGTGGATTATTCCCAGCAAATTATAACTTTTTAGTTGTCAAAAAGTTGTAATTTTTATTATTTTTGTAGTAGTATTGTTATTATGTTATATTATTTCATAATTTTATTGTTTTATTATTTCAATATTACTCTGCAGGAGCAGAGTGCAGGGATTACTTTGGGAAGTCCAAGGAGAGTCCAAGGAGAACATGCTCCACTCATCCTTCAAACCAAAGAAGCTCCTAAGACCAAATCATTCCCCTCTCAGTGAGTCCCAGATCTGGAAAGCAAATCTGGAAAGCAAACTTGGGTCCTGTGTCTCCAAAGACATCTCTCTGATGATGCCCCAAGTTTCTCCCAAGGAACTTCAGGGGATAAACTGTATATAACACACTGGCTTTGCTATAGAATTTTGGGTGTGCCCAACCTCTTCATCTGACCATGGGACTCAGTTGTTCTGTTGAGACCACAGATGTTTCAGAACTACAGATCCCTCTGTAAACCCCTCTGTCTGCACACAGGAGCCTCAATTATTTTCAGAATGTTTGAATTTCCTATTTACAACTGGCAAACAGGAATAAGGCTGAATGCTAAAGACACAGCTCTAAGGTGGTCCTTCATTTAGGTGTAAACCCCTGTTTGGGGAGATAACCAGCCTGAGACACTCAGTGACACCATTGCAGGAAATCATAAGGCTTTTTTATACAACAGTTTTTGATAATAAGTATAGAAATAAATATAGAAAAACACATTCTTCAAAGAGCAGCTCATGGTGTGCAGCTGAAGCTCCAGTTTCATAGACAGCTGGGCTGTACCTGCCAGCTTTTCACCAGCCTTCAGCTCAGTTCTCAAAGATATCTGCCAAAACATCACAGAGAGTTGACAGACTCTCTGTGAAAGGGCATCCAATAATAGGCAGGGTTTCTTTCTTCTCCTCTCAGCTATTGTCATTTATTTTGTTATTCTGTTAACACACAGCAGAGAGAAGAGGAATCCATTCCAGAGCACCAGAGCATCCCTGGGCATTCAGCAGGGTGCTGGATGCCATGGAGTTTGTGGGAAAAGGATGGGCAACATCACTGCCCACAGATGGAGAATTGGTTGAGTGATAACTTCTGGGATTTATCTTGACGTGGAAACATCAGATCCTCAGCAGAGGCAGTGGGGAAGGTGGTCCCAAACTCTGTAACAGGGACTGGTGCTGAAAGCAAAAGCCAGGGATGTCCAGTGACTTATCAGCCAAAACACAGGGCTGATCCCAGCCTGGGTGTGCACACACAGACAGGCCCAGGGTGGTCTTTCCAGGCTCAGACACAAGATTCTGGGTTTAACTGTCCCTCAGTGAAAAAGAATAGGCAGCCCAGCCTGGCTGGCACCTTCTCAGTCCTGGCCCTGTCCTCCAGGAGGCACATTTGATCAGGGAAGGTTAAAAATGCTACTGATGGGCTGAGGAGGTGAACAGTGTGATCCCCTCCCCTGCCTGGGGAGGCTGCTCACAGGGGAAGGTGTTTTCCTTGCTGCAGGAAGGAGTTTCCATTCTGTAGCTGGCTCTGGAGCAACTGTGGACTCCTTGCCACAGGAAACTGGATCTCACTGGGTCTGTTCAGCTGGAGAAGAGGAGACTGAGGGGAGACCTCACTGCAGTTCCACCTCCTGGGCAGGGGCAGAGGAGGGGCAGGGACTGAGCTCTGCTCTGGGGGGACCAGGGACAGCAGCCAGGGAATGGCTGGAGCTGTGTCAGGGCAGGCTCAGGTTGGATCTCAGCCAAAGGTTCTTCCCCCAGAGGCTGATCGGGCACTGCCCAGGTTCCCCAGGGCAGTGGGCACAGCCCCAAGGCTGCCAGAGCTCCAGGAGGGTTTGGCTGATCCTCTGGGGCACAGGGGGTGACTCTTGGGGATTGGGCCTGTGCAGGGCTGAGGGTTGGACTGGATGATCCTTGTGGGTCCCTTCCAACTCAGCACATTCTGTGCTAACGTGTGATAGATATTCTGTGATATTCCATCCCACAGCTGGCTCTGGAGCAACCCTGGGCTCCTTCCCCAGGAAGCTGGATGTCCCTGGGTGTGCCAGCTGAGCTCTCCTGGCTCAGCAGTGCCCCGTGTGCCCCTGTCCTGCTTGGGGCCGTCGTGCTGCTGTTCCCTGCCCAAGCCTGAGGAAGGCTCTCAGCTGAGCCACCAATCCTCCCTGTGCTCATTGCTAACAGTCTGGGAAGGCTTGGAAAGCCACATCCCGTGTTCTCCCCGTGGCCATGAGCAGTGTGAAGACAGAAGGGGCCCTTCCCCTTTGTTGTTTCACTTGCAGGAGGTTACGCTGGGGTTTGATGTGGTTCTGCTCATGTTCCCCCACCCCTCACTCACAGCATCAGCTGCACCATTGGTATGGTTTCCACAGCCTCCCCCTCTCCTCCCACCAGGCTCTTCAGAGGGCTATAAAAGCCAGAGCTGTCCAGACTCCGCTGAGAAACGGCCGGTCGTGTCTGAAGTCGATTAAATAATTCAGGGTGGCTGAGATGCCCTATTGCGTAATGGAATCTTTCTGCAGAGCTCTGGAGCCTTTCCCACCTCCCAGGGGGCCCATTTTCAAGTCAATACAATTAAGTGTCAGAATATGCAATGGTTGAAATTAATCTGGAATAAGAATGCAAGTGATCTTTAGCACACACACTGCAAGACACCATCAAAATCATTAGATACCAGCCAGGAGGAACAGCAAATGATTCATTGGCATGCAGCGGGCTGGGCTCAACACCTCTCCATTGACAGGATGTCTAACAAGTGTTTAATGAGAAAAAGGACTCAACATACCTAACCTAGCCCTTAATTTTTGCATATCTATTCATGGCAAGCTACAGATGCAGGTATGAAAAAACCGACCCTTTAAAGTTCTCTCTTTCTCTGTATTAATGAGTCTCCTGCAAGCTTGGATTACTAATGATGGGGGCAGGCAGCAAATTCCAGCTTGGATCTGATTCATTGTGTGTTTTGGAGCCGTGTTGGGCTGAGCTGGTTGTGACAGATGTAATATAAGACCCCAAAATAACAAATTAAGGGTATGAACCAGCACTTTGGGAAAGAAACTGGAACACAAGGCTGCAAGCCAAGCAGCGGAACCAGCCCTGACAGCAGGGAACCAGGACAGGAGGGAGGAATCGGAATTTTCAAACTGCTAATGATGATTAAATTAATAAATCTCTTTCCTCCCATTCATCTCTGAATCATATTTACATGGACCAGCAAAACTGCTGGTTCCTGAGGTGATGCTCGGAAAAGGGGTTTATTTTGGGGGCTCCAAAAGGAGCAGTGGGTTGTGTAACAGGGGATGGTGGGTGTCCAAGGGGAGGAAATGGTGTCAGCCACAATACCTGACCCTGTTCCACCACGTTCAGTCCACGTGCAAAGTGTGCAGCTCTGAATATTAGAGATCCACCGAGGTGTCTGCACGGAGACCAGTTTGCATACAGACATGTCATTTATAAAACACAGAGCCTGTCACAGACACAGCAAATCCAGGTGGGGATGTGCCAATGAGAGAACACAATGGGTGGGGAGAGCAGAAATGACCTGCTCCTGTGCTGACACAGGATGTCCCACAGCCCTGTCTCACTGACAGGCTCTTCAGAGACTCACACAAACACCAGATCACTCGGGCAAACACAGCCCCAGCCACGAGTCACTCACTCTGTGCTCCTCTCCCATCACCCTTCAGTGGGAGCAGCTGAGCTGTGGTGCTGGGAAAACTCTGCAGCTTCCAGGGAAGAAAGAGCTGAGAAGGTGGAGCTGTCACCCACAGCTGGACACACTGGAGCACCTCAGGAGGACCTTGGTTGCTAAGTATGATCTAGAGCTGCCTTTGCCCTCTCTCATGTCTGTCCCTGTAGATTTTCTTACACACAAACACAAACATTGAACTGATAAAGCTGTTGCTTTACTCTTGTCTTTGCAGCAGCCCTGAGGGACCTGCTGACACCAGAACCCTATTCCCCAGTACTGGCCCATGGGATCTGGCTCTCCAGGAGGTGAAGGTTGGCCAAGGTGCCAGGTCAGTGCTGGGGTGGTGGAGCAGGATTTGCCCTTGGATTGTGGTCAAACAACTCAAACAATGCCCTATTTTGCAAGCTGTGGAGAGAGCCAGGTGATGCTAAAACCAGTCTGGCACATCAACCCCAAATTAACATCCTCATAGTGAGGCAAATATCTGGCAGATAAACTGCTAAGCTGACCTGGAGACATATGACTGGCAGTCCATCACTTTATACTATAGAAGTCCAGTCCACTTTCTTAGGATCAGGTTCTTCTGACACACCCTTTGGGGTGTGTGGTATGTGGAGGTTCCTCTCTTGAGAGGGGAGGCCATTTCAAGGATAGTCCTTGAGTTTAAGAGAAAGAGCTCTGCCCACAGCATTGGTCTGGTGAGTTACATCAATCTCTGTTTAATAACTATTTCTTATTTTTCTAGCTCTAATATAATTATTTCACAGAATTGCTTTGATATAGTGCACTACCCTATCCTATACTATACTAGTAGTTTTAGCTTCTATACTGTGTAATAAATAATTCTGAATAAGATCTTTTGTCTCATCATTTGCCAAAATAATTAATTTTATATAAATATACCCAGTTTGCCACTTTTAACCCTGCAGGACAAAGTTGTACTTAAACTGTTGACAAAGCCCGAGGCTGAGATTGGATCCAGCCACCCCCAGGCTCCTCTCTGAGCAGGGGGTCCTTTCTGTACCTTGTGAGCCAACGGGAGGGTTTCTCTGATTAACTTGGTCTAAAGCCCCACTCCCACCCTAACAGAGGGCCCCCTCAGCCTCTCAGAGCCCGCTGAACACACTGAGACTCAGCTGCTGCCTCACCCCTCAGCTCCCCTCCCTTCCTGACACTGCCTCGTGCCCTCTCCCAAATGCTGCAGCTTCCGAACCTCAAACCCACGAGGTCACCACCTCCCCCTGCCCTGGCACCAGGAATTACAGGCTCTGTGTGTCCTCTTGCACAGGGGCTGGCAGAGGAGGGTGAGCATTTTCCAAGGCAGGATCAGATCAGGAACGATTTCCTCCTATATTTAAAGGAAATGCACAAACATAGGGAGTTGGATATTTATCAGGTGCCAAAGTATCTGAGGAGTGATATCTGCTGGGTGTAAGGCCCTGCTAAAGGACATACACCATGTTCCACACCAGGCACAGCTGGACCTCCCAAGCAGGGCTGTGCCACCCCCAGTGCCCCGAGCCCTGTGCCCATGGGAGGTGCAACCAATCTGCAGAAGGGAGAGAATGGAGGCCCAGCAGGCAAATCTCACATTCAGCTGTAAATCTGCACAGATTTACAGCTGTAAATCTGCCACATCTGCACAGATAAAATGTGCTGTGGGGAGCTGCTGGGGCTCAGTCACCAGGGCTCCCCTGCCCAGCACTGTTCTCACCCTGCCCACACTGCAGAGCTGAGCACTGGCCCGGGCTCCAGCCTTGGAGTTCTGGCTCAGTTCTTAATTTTTCCTGCCTATGGCACTGCAGGAGAACATCCTCAGAGCACATTGCAGTGGGATACTCGAAGAAGAGCCTCCTGCAACTCCCTGACTCAGAGCACATCTCAAAATGACTCCAGGAACAGCCCAGATCCAAAAGTCAGAGGTCACATTTCTGGAAGTGTTACTGGGCAGGCTGAGGGCACTGAGGGCACTGAGGGCACTGAGGGCACTGAGGGCACTGAGGGAACTGAGGACACTGAGGGCACTGAGGGCACTGAGGGCACTGAGGGGACTGAGGGCACTGAGGGCACTGAGGGAACTGAGGACACTGAGGGCACTGAGGGCACTGAGGGAACTGAGGACACTGAGGACACTGAGGGCACTGAGGGGACTGAGGGGACTGAGGACACTGAGGGAACTGAGGACACTGAGGGGACTGAGGGCACTGAGGGCACTGAGGGGACTGAGGACACTGAGGACACTGAGGGGACTGAGGGCACTGAGGGGACTGAGGGCACTGAGGACACTGAGGGGACTGAGGGCACTGAGGGCACTGAGGGGACTGAGGGAACTGAGGGGACTGAGGGAACTGAGGGGACTGAGGGGACTGAGGGGACTGAGGACACTTGACTCTCCTTGTTTTCAACACCTGCTTTTCGAGTTCCAACCTCCTCAAGGACCTGGCACAAACTTACGAGGAATTAGCAGGTTGTAGGGAAAGTTCCCTACGAGATGATCCCGCAGCAGGAGGGTCTGACCCCCCAAACCCCTCCTACCTCACTGTTCCCTGGCCCCTTGCACTGGGTTCAGATGGGAAATTATGCTTTTCCCACCAAATAACCTCACTATTTTTAACACTGTTGCAGAGTTACCAGGAAAACAAAGAAGCTGTTCAGTGATGAACCAACATTATCATCTGCTCCACAGAATTTCTGCTGCTGTCCCAGACTGGTGGAACACAAGGAGCCCAATCCCACTTGGAAACTATTTTCAAGGTCTGAGACTGATAGTGAAAAAAAAAATAAATAAAAATCACATTTTTACCTGAAAACTCAGCAATCATGGTGTGAAATAATCTGTCTGGAGTGAATTTACTGCTCCTCAAGCTTTGTTCCTTCCCTGTGGTTGGGGGTACCTGTGGGTGCCTGCTCCCTGTTGTAGCAGCTGTGTAACCTCCTCCAGCCTGGGGAACTGGGCAGAGCTCTGAGGAGCCCTGGCACCTCTGTGGGCACAGTCCAGCTTGGGCCAGTCCCAGCCTGGGACACCCGAGAGTATCAAGGTGCTCGGAACAGGTTGAAGAAGCTGGTTTTAAATCAGAGGGATGTGATAACTCCTGTCTGCTGTGCTCCTGTTTGTGCCACTGGAGTGTTGAACTCTCAGCAACTCCCACAGCACTTGGAGCAGCTGGAGCTGCTCCTACACTAATAGGGCAAGTGGGATCCATCCCCTGAGGGCTAAAAGACCCCCACAGCTCCCTCTTGCTAGAGGGGGGAAGAGATGTCTTGTGCCATCCAGTGAATGCTCCTTTAGAGGTGCTTTTGTCTCCCAGGTGTGGTAGAACCACATGGAACTAAAGGTTCTACCTCAGAATAAAACATCCAACCTCTTCCTGATGTGATATGAGATTAACCCTGCCATGTGCCTCACCATGGGCACCTTTATGGCCTGAAGAGTTTGGATTCATCCCTAGATCACCACGACACACTGACAGCAAAGTCTTTCCCCACGGTGTAAAGAACACCCCCTGTAATGACTTTACAGCCTTTAAATGCCAGGCAGTGATGCATTGCCCACTGACATGTCAGAGAGGAACCATAAATCACAATCTTGCAGGAGCCTGTGGATGTCAGACATGTGGATGTGCTGATTTGGTCTCCATGGTAGTTTGGCATGTCTCACATCTTTGTCTTCTGCCCAAAATAGATTAGCTCTTAAATATTACTCAGCACTTGGAGTTCTGCCACAGCACAGAAGACAGTTGAGAAAACACCAAAAATGTGTCTCGCAGTGCAAAGAAATATTGAGATAAACTTCACTGGCTTTGTTCAGTCTAAAAGTAGAACCCTTTGGTGTAACAAGAAGGCAGGGTGGGGTTATTTGGCTCATGGCAGCTGAAGTGGAGATTTTAACACATGTACTGGAACTGCAATAAGACAAAACCTGAGCATGAAGCTGCTCAGCTAAAGCTCAGGACTAACCCTTGCTGTAGCACTCATCTCTCCTGTCCAGGTACTGGGCTGTCAGTTCAAACTGAACACAGGAAATCTTTCAATATTTCCAGAAATAATCAAATTATATCAGGCACAATCATAACAACAGAGCACCTCGGTTACTTGCTCCCCCCAAATTCCTGCTTTCACAGCACAAACACACAAATCATGTCACAGACAAAGACAAACCTACACATTTGCACGAGCAAACCAGGCAGTTTGCCTGCAGTACGTGTGGAGATGTTCAGCACTTGCACCACTCATGAGTGGGAGTGTGAATCTGCCATTAAAAAAAATTAGAAATTAACATTATAATACTGTTTAAATAAAATGTGGTTTTATAGGTAGCTGAAAAGTAAATTCTAAGGCCATTCCTTTCTGGTTTGTCCATAAACAGCCAAAGTAGAATTTGATTTCTTCAGAAAACAGACTTTGGAAAGCCTCCCCCCTTAACCCCCCTGGCTGGGGGCTGTTGTGGTGGATGGACAGTCTGGACTCCCCCTGCCCACTCTTCCACCTTCCCAGGGATGGGAAATGTGCTCTGTGGGGCTTCCAGGTGTGAAAACCATGAGCCCATCCACAGGAGAGCAGAGCCCCCGAGAGCTTTCAGTCCAGAGGGAAAGCAGGTTTTGTTCTGATGTGGGAAGGAACCAGGAAACCACATTGCCCAGAAAACTGCTGGGAGATAACCCCGATGTCTGGGACGAAGAGGCAGGAACGTGGCCCTGCTGGGGGTTATCCTTGTGCTTGGGAAAGGTTATCAGGACACTCCACCCTGTGGCCCATCTCTCCTGGGGTTCTCTTGCTGTCTCACCCTAAATACCCTCCTGATGTGACATGACATGACTGTAAAACTCCTCTTGGGTGGGCTGGAGAAAGGGAGACCTTGTGTAAATGTCCTTCCTCGAACCATTGCAGTTCCCAGCCCAGCTGGGGTTTGGAGGTGGTTCCTCTGCTCCCCTTCCCCCGGAGCAGAGCCAGGCTGGAATTGCAGGGTATTGGATTACAAGTCCCACGGGTTCTGCCTCAGCCTCAGTAAACTTTATTTAAGCACACACAGACATACACAGACAATATACATAGATTTGTTTCTTCTCTGACAGTGCTACAGGACCAACACTACTGCGGATGACACTCGCGGAGAGCTGGAAAAAGTGCAGGAAATGTAAAAACCAAGGTCTTTTAATAATCTGTGAGTCATGTCATCCACAGGAACAACACAGGAGCGTTCAACCAGGTGAGCACGAGGACACATCTCCACATACAGTACATTGGTCTATAGAGGAATCTCCACATACATTGTGTCTACAGGGAGGTACAACAGTCTCGAGGTCAGGAGGACACAAAACCAGACAGGGACTGGCACATGCACCCCCAGTGGCACAGCCCAGTGGCACTGCCAGGGTGGCTGGGGCAGGGGAGGGGGGACAGAAAGATGCTCCAAACACAGTCTCACTGTACACTCCAAAAACTCACCAAAATAGGCAACAAGGTCATCAAATGAACATTCATTGGGGGTTCTGGTGCCCAGCTGGGTCAGAGCTCACAGCTTTGGTGTCACCAGGACTCCTGGGATAGGTGGTTACTTGTCTTATAGAGCTCCAGCTGGCTCTCAACATGTATTTTATATACAGTACATATACACAGAACATACACAGAGCAGTATATGTATACTTTTGTGTTTTCCTGTTTGTACATTATATCACAGGTTATAGGAACACATAAAATATATGTTTCAAGAGCTAAAAAGGAAAGAATTTTATAAAATATTCATCATACACCCCTCAAACCCCCCAGAACAAAAAAAATAAAATAAAAGCCCAGAAGTCAAACAAAAGAACTCCAGAGAGACACTCTGGAAGTGGTCACTGCCTGCCCTGGGCCAGCTGTACATCCCTTCCCTTCCTCTGGGAGGACAGGAACGAGGGGGGTTTGCAACCATGCACCCAGGAAAACACAAAGCTGTATAAACAGTCCAACTGCACAGGCAGAGTCCGGAATCTGGAATCTGGAATCTGGAATTTGTCTGACTCTACACTCCCCCACCACCTCCCCTGCAAGGGTTTCAAAGGTTCTGCCTGAGCACAGTATTTTACCTGCAGCAATATTTCCTGGACTAAACCCACTGCCTGCAGTCCAACACTGTTCTCTCAGGGCACTTAGAACCCACTGCTGAGTTAGAGCTTTTTATTTAAAACAATCTTTTGATTTAGCAAAAAATGGTTTCCACTGTACCCTTCGTGTGTCCTCTTCCTAATGTGACAAACCCGGAGGAGATGAAATTATGGAGATCTGGGCCTCCACTTCGGTAAATATCTTTTCCATAGTGACCTGTCAAGGAAAAGAAAACAAAATCACCTTTATTCAGTGTGCCTGTGTGGATATAGATATCTGTATTTGTGCTATACAGCCCTGCTGTCACCCTCATAGACGAGCACCAAGACCCCACCACGTGTTACACTATTCATCCCAACCTGAGGGTCTCACAGAACACAGCAGCTACAGCAGCACTGCTTTACTGGCAAAGATTTATGGAGAACAACTGCACATTTGGATAATTGCCAAGGCAAGAACAGAATCTGAGAGGGGAACCACTGATGTGCCAAAGCAAACCCCCCAGCCTTGGGGAAGTTGGCTCATCACAGGCTCAGCTTGAGGTTTGGGACTGGTCTCACTCAGACCTTCAGGACTAAGGAGCTAAAGGAATTCAGAAGAGATTTTTGACTTTGAACCTTTCCCATTCCAGCCACACTCCTGACAGGATTCCTGCTGGCAGAGCTTTTGTGTCAGCACAAAAGCAGAGGTGCCAATGTCCCCCTGCCCAGGCTGCACCCACATCCCCAGGAACAGCAGGACAGGAAACTGTCCTTTAGCTTTGATTTGCTCTGGTCCACGAGGGGCATCCCTGGACAGTTCCTCAACTGCAACAGCCTTCTCAAAAGACTTCTTTGGAGCTTTCTCATCCCCTGACAACAGAGTAGGTTCAAGAGACACCCAGCCTTTTAATATTTAAATACATTAATAAAGAAAAAAGCCTCCTGCCTCCTTGTTACCATGCAAAGCTCTGAAATGAGGACAGAGATAATTTTTCAGATACTCTTTATCATCTCCTCCCTTTTTCATGTTGTTAATTTTTCTATTCCTTTTATTTCAGAGAGAGGCAGAGATAAGATAGGTGCAGGGGGAGGGAAGGAAGGTGGCCTCAGGGGCCAGGAATGCAGCTCAATCCCCGGTAAATCTCCACTTCTCCATGACTTTCTACCCAAGCTGTGATGTATCACTGCTCAGAGCCAGGGGGCCTGGAGGGGCTGATGGTCCAGAGCCTGCTGCTGGAGCAGGAGAGCTGTGGGCAGGGACAAGTGGGCATCAGGGATCCAGCTGGGAATATCCTGGGGCCACATACAGATGTTACAGCCCTATTTTTCAAAGGTTGAGACCACGTGCTGTTTGTTCTCATCCATTTTCAGACTCTCTGGCAGCACTAACAGGACAGAGACTTTGGAACCTACTCAGTCTGAAAAGTTTGCCTCTTTTCCTCTTAGCCAGTCACTCTCAGCCCAGTACCCAGCAGTTAGTGCTGGTTTTGCAGGTCATTCCTCCTGTCAGCAGAGTCCACCTTGCATATGAACAACCTGAGGGTGAGCACCCCAACCACTCACAGATGTCACAGAACCATGGAATGGTTTGGGCTGGAAGGGATCTTAAAGCTCATCCAGTTCCACCTCCTGCCATGGGCAGGGACACCTTCCACCAGCCCAGGTTGCTCCAAGCCCCATCCAACCTGGTCTGGGACACTTGCAGGGATGGGGCAGCCACAGCTTCTCTGGGCAACCTGTGCCAGGGCCTCCCCACCCTCACAGCCAAG